CATCAGATGGCACACCCTCCCTGTCTGAAAGCCCCTTAAAACTAAAGCACCACCTAAACGTCCAACAAGATTTCGAGGCCTTGGTTCTACTTTAACTGAACCAATCAAATGCAACAGGATATGTTTCCCTGCTTTTCCCTGTTCAGCTTATCACTGAGATGCTGAGTGTGATGGCCGGCAAAAAACACAACTTGATATCCACTTCTGGTTCCTCGTTCAAGCTCATTCAGTGACAGCTTTTCAAGTTGATTTTACTTCCACGCCTGAGATTTACAGAATTAAGCAGAAACTGCATCAGTGTCCTGTATTTGGTTGTTGATCAATGGTCATGACAATTTGTGCAATTAGCATCAAGAAACTGACCTCACAGCCCATTGTTGGTCAGTGATGCTAGTGTTGGTCATTATGCAAATGTACAGCTGGGGAAACCTGCAGTCAGATGAGACTGAAGAAGTCACTTGGATGAATGACGAAACGTTTCACCCGCTAAAAAAGGCCAAGTCCAGGTGAACAGAATCAGATTTTTGGGATTTCCTTACCTGGATGATTGAGCATGCATAAAGACACTGTACCTGGAACTTTCCCTCCTCGTTTGGTCTAAGAGACTCCCACTCGGGAGAGTCGAGGAACTGGTGTCGGTGGATGTAATGCAGAAACTGGCCCTCCAAAGACACGTTGATCCTGAGACAGAGAGCAACAGATACAAGGTTAAAAAGGGAAACGGGATTAAGAAGTGATAATGACAGCAGAGAGAGTTGGAGGTCACAGCAGGTCTAAGACGCTGGAGGTGGATATGGGCAGAAATACCTGCCACAGACAAGCTACCGGACTTCAGTGGACAGAGGTTAAGTATGTTATTGCTAATCAAATGAAGTAAGTTTTCAAATAGGTTGAGAAACGGGACCTATTACTTAGAATTAGCAGCTCTAATAAACAATCGTGTGCAGGGATTTTTTGTCCTGAGGTTTCTTGCAAAAGATTTTAATTCAAGTCATTTCCACATGTGCTGCGGCACCACTACTACTTTGTTTGTTTGTTTGTTTTAAATTAACACATGATTCTTTCATTTCAAGGACCAATTATTTCTCTATGCACGACAACTTTATTGTGTTTTGTTCTTCATTCACTGTAGGCTGAACGTGTTCATATCAATGATGGGACTATCGTGTATATTCGGTCATCTGACTAAATCTAAAGTCAAATCTGAAGTCACTACAACCTGATGAGGGCAAGCTAAGGCAAGCCCAGATTACAAAGACATTTGTATTGGAAAAAGCTGTATCACTGTTATTATGTTAATGGATTTCTCTCTAGAGCCTATTACTGTGTGCTAAAACTGCTCGAAGCATTTATTTAGACACTTCAAAACAATAGGTGTTAATTGCAAGCTATTTTCCAGAGTGTTGTTGCATCAATTACCCTCAAGGCACAACCAAAGGTATTTCAATTGGGGAATCCCATTTTAAAAGTGTCAGTGCACTGCTGGCACTTTGGCATATGTACTATATGGTCCAGATTTTGTGGACACAGGCTTACTCCAGAGTTCTGTTTCCCCGATTTGATTTGATTAACTGTTGTTCCTGAAGGGGAGCAAATACATAAAACCAGGTTCCTACAACTTGCTAAACTTTTCCAAATCTTCCCAAAAGATGCAGATTTATGTCCACTGTTTTTAAATGAGAGGTCACATATGTATTTGGCTGTGGAATACAACCATATCAAGCATCTGGCTTTGAAAATTACTCATGAATTGCACAGAAAAGAAAGGCTTTCCAACACAACAGTAATAATACGTGTTTCTGGCAAATCAGAAGATGCAGATGAATAGAAAAATAAAACGGAAATCTTTGCCAAGAATTCACAGCGTAAGAAAGGAAACGTTTAGCTCATTTGCTCGTAGTTCCAAATTTGGCTTGTAAACTCAGAGCTGTCAGCACCGTGGCCAACATTTAATTTAAGGTAAGAGGAGCCGTCAGTGTCACTCTCCTGTCGGGAGCACAAAGATATGATTTAACCAGCTGGCAGTGAGCAAGGGGACGACACACCAGTGAGTCACAGACAAAAATACTCTGTTTACAACATTTCTCTTGTGTAGCTTCCAGGACTGTGAGATCTAATGCAGCTCTGCTTTGAGGATGTTTGGAGGAAGAGGACAGAGTTCCTTTGACGGTTATGTACTGCCAACAGTCTCAGAGTCATTAATTAAGTTTACTTTTAAATATTTATGTGATGTTATGGGGGGGGGGGGGTTCCCAGTATTGGAAAAATGTAAGCCTGCGGTATAAATTGACATACTTTAAGCACCTTCTGCTTCATTTATTCGGTCTGTTACAGCACTCTTATTAACTTTGCCTACTAAAGTGACTTTAATATCTCAACACTCTGTGGCAGTATGTGGACAGAATGTCTGCACAACAATGCAAAGCACTCATGCAGATTGTGTCTGCATGCATTTGAGTTTCTACATCGAAAATAAAGAATACTACAGCATCTTTGCAACTGTTAGCCTGCATGTGCATATAGGCCCAATAATAAAGGTGCAAAGTTTTTGTTTTTAACATCACTGTTGGTTAGGGTGCTCTGTGTTTTTAATTAACAGACAAAACTACTGTATTGTTTTATTATCATTGCCCTCATTTTCATCATTTTTTACTAACCAGCGAGGACATTTAAGCAGATAAATTCCAAATTAAAAAAACAGAGAAAAAGGAGAAGAAATCAGAGCTTGAAAAATAGTGAAAATTGAATTCTAATGAATGTTATTGTTGTTCCATGCCAAGTGGCTCTGTAACTGGGCAAAGGCTCGGTCACACTGGATTAAAAATAGAACAGCAACCTCAATGCAACTGGAAATTGGTAGCTGCCCTTTGATTGCACTAAAGAGACTGATTGCAAGTAGTTGCACAGACCAAATGGTCAACCACTTTTGATTGCAAGGTGAATGGACAGGTCACCTGGTGGAAGGCAACCTGTCTCAACACAGCTACAGTCCAGCTCTGACTGACTGCAGTCACTCAGATTCATTAGAGAAGGTTTGCAAATCGTTGCCTTCTAATTTATAAATGCAGACAAACTGCCAACAGTTTGCAATTAGTCTGAGTCAGCTTGCACCAGTAATGTTTTAAATACTGTAGAAAGGCTGAATCAACTGGTTGCCAACTGGTTATATTGCAATTATGTTCCAATATATTGCAAAAAGACCACTGAGACCCTGTATCATTTTGGGATTTTTGCTGATTCTTCATATTTAATCGCCATATTATCACAGAACGACTGCCCAATTGCCATTTTATTGGTATATTGCTTGATTTGCAACTGGTTTCAGCTAAATGCAGGTGGCCACCATCTTTAGAGCAACCGTTTCAAAGACAATGAGACTGCAAGTTCATTGCACACAGCTATGGCAGTTTTGGTAAGACTCACAGTCTCCAACATGTTCCCTGCATCACCCTCAAAGGTGATACAGATTTGGTGTTTGCAGCTTATTTCTACTTTTAAAAAGAGCTTTACCTACAAGTATTTTTCTTTTATCATGCAGGTGTTTGGGGATTCACAGAACCCTCGATGCGATACAGTAAGATACAATCCGTGATAACAATCACTCTACAACACTACTACAGCTAGCAAAATCGAAGATATGAATACCACCAAAAAAAAGTAAAAGCAGTAGCTATGTGTGTATTCACAACATTTTGAGATAGGTTGTGTTTGTATTTTTATGTATGAATATTACTGTGTCAGTTCTTTTTATTAGCTCTCGGATTAGCTTTTTCCTGCTGATTGCCACTTCATTAGCCTGATTTTTCTGTAAAACGCCTCCACCAGGAGTCATAAAGCAGGGATCTTGGCAACTCAAAGTGGTGCATCACAAGACGATATAATAAAATGTAGTGCTACATGAGTTTTACGGCCACACTTTAGGTGCGTGCCATCTTGGAGATGTGTGTCAAAGTGTAATCGTCTGCGCACACAGACACACAAACACATTGCCCACTCACTCACCTTCCAGAAAGCAGAAAGGAGAGCCGGTCAATGGGGGTCTTTCCCTCCACAGCATAAGTCTCTCCTGCTTTCAGCTCCAGCACCTTGTTCTCAAAAGCCTTTGCAATCTCCTTGAACACCTGGACAGGCACGCCCAGGGGCAGGTAGACCGCCTGGTAGAGGGAGGCCAGCTCCTCACCTCGTATGCCCTCCTGGTGCAGCCGGTAAAGGAGGTGACAGAGCTGAAGCAAGCAGACCAGCAGTAGAAGCAGGTTCCAGGTGAAGACATCCAGGCCGCACACTGTAAGCAATCCCCACAGAAGAAGACACAGGAAACCGGGACAAAGGAAGCCGAAGATGAAGAGGCACCCGTAGGCCCCGCTTCCTCCCATGTAGCCCAGAAACAGGATGGTGTTACCCAACTGGTAGATGGCTCCCTCTGTGTTGTTGCTCCAGCCATCGCAGAGAGGGGGAAAGAGCAGGCTGTCCAGCAGGCTAGAGTTGTCTGCACTCATGTTTAAATCTTTTCGAATAAGTTCTGGAAAGGTTCTTGGAGCACAAAGCAAAGTTTGTTTGTTTTGTGGTTTTTTTTTTAAGAAGGGACCAATAAGACTTGTTTTCCACTCAAACTAAGTGCTGTTTCTGTCCTATTACTAGATCATCTGTTTGGATTACAGCTTGATTAAAAATAAACAGCCTGATACTGACCAAAAATGTCAGAGGTAATTGCTTGTTCCCTTGGCGTGCAGCGGCAGAAAATTCTTCACCATGAAGATGTTATCACGACTCTATTTGTTGCAGAAACACCGCTGGAATGGGTTTCCTCTGTTTCTTCTCCTCTCATCATGCGTCCCTTCCTCTCTCCTCTGGTTTCTCCCGTCTTTCCCTTCCAAGTTTTCCCGTAGTCTTTCTTGCTGTGCTTTTCTGTCTCTTTTTCTCACCCTCTGGCCTGCACCGTAGAGCCACCAGCTGGAAGAGAAAGGGATAAGGGAGGCGAGGGGGGGAGTCGATAGGGCCCTAGAAGGATAACCATGTTTGGAATTGAAACCCAAGGAGGACAGAGTGGCAGACAGAAAGCAGGCCTGCTACTTAACATAACAGAAAGAGAGACAGAGAGGGGAGAGGGAGGCAGGAAACAGGAGGGAGAAGAGGGACTATAACAAGTAGTATCTCAGAGAGACTCACAAAGTGTCACCCACTTTTTTTTTTATCTGACAAAGAAGTTCCTCCAGGGGGGTTCAGAGTTTCACACAGGCTTCACTGAGTCCAGTTTGCTCGCAGGAAGTGTGGCTCTGCTGGTGCATATTTAGAGACACTGTAATAAGTAGGATGGCAGCTCAGGTCAGATTTCAGGTATAAACACACACCAACATCGCCTCACATATCCGGCTCTCAGTGTGTGGACAGCTCACAGGGACTAAATATCAGTCTATATGAATATTGCTCAGTGAAAATAAGAATGAATGCTATTTTAAAATTAAAACTTTGCAATGGAAATTAATATTAAGAAGTGTTGATTTTCAAGGTACAAGAATACAAAACTCCATATATTCAGCAACAGTGCTTCCAGTTTTTGACTGATTTTTCTTTCTCTCCGTTTGGCTGTTTGTGTCGCTGTTGCCCTGCCAGTTGTCTCTGGTTAACAGGAGGACAGCAATCTGAATCCTAGTGAATAAAAGCAGATGAAAGCTAGTTGGGCTTCTTATGTCTATGATTTCCTTTAGGGTACGGTGAGTGATGAACCAATATATCAGCCAAACATCAATATTGGCAATAAGGAGACACACTGTTTGCAGTACTAAATGATCAGAGATAATGTAATCAAAAAAGGACTTTAAATTCAGTGCAATAAAAGTTACAGCCAGACGTGCTTTTTCCTCCCGTCAGGGTGGAGAGTGTGTTTTCAGTGCAATTTGTCGGAGAGGTGGATCACGTGCAAAAGAAGAAAGCAATAAATGTAGGTGAATTTCTCAATTGCTTCATTTTTAATTTGAGAAAAAGAGCTTTGGTTTTAGCATTCTCTATGAGCACCCTTCTGTGTAAGATTTCTCTAATTTGTTGCAGACATAAAATTATGAATGTTAGCTAAGTGAACAGATAATCTCTCATTTTAAGTTAGTATAAGCATGCACTGAACTAAGAATCTGACATGATTTGAGGGGACTTTTAACCTGCTGACTGGCAACATATATATAATTATATAACATAATAGTTTCAAACTGCAAAATTATAAAACACATTAAATTAGAAAATGTAAATTGTAACATAACTTATGTTAACTGGAAAGATTGTTTATACAGCCTGTGTACAGTATTGAATCTTTTATATTAATAATTTTACTTTACACTTGTCAGCCTACAGAGATGTGAGAAACACTTCCTACATGACTACTGAGGGACATTTACTATGTTTAAAGTGGTCCTATATATGTAATGGTATACATATAATATGTATGTATATATTCCCTTCAGTGTGGGCATAATATGAAGTGAATTAGGAGTGTTTTCCAATACACTATCGCATTCCTTTCAAGTGTTTTTTCAAAGTGTGAAAATGATGTCCACAGCCAAGCACACTTCAGTGACAGGGACACACTGTGGAAAAAGAATGCAGATATGCAAAGTATTGACTTTGCAGGGGCAAGAGTTATTTTTAACTGTAAGTGCATACCAGGAACAGCAACTGTGGCAAGCAACCGTTTCCCTTGGCAGAACTGATCTTCAATGCAAACCTTAAGATGAGTGCACGACTAATAAAAAAAACCTTCACAACAAGTTTATTGCATAGGATTTTTATTCAATGTCACATCAGAATTTCTCAGATTTTGCAGACTTGAAAAAATAGTTTTCGCACAGTTAATCCAACAAAAGGTATAAATAAGAAGTGCAGGGGGGGAGTGAAGAAACAAATACCCGGGGTCACCTTCCACACACAGCAGCACACTGCAAGAGACCAAAATGCACACAATCAGCAATTCACATGACTACTACATCACACCTGACGCTGTATGCAAGTGAAAATCTGGAAGATATTTTATTTAAATTGAGCTGCCCTAAAAAGAGCTGCCCTGGCAAAAGGGGAAAGCCGTTACACCCAGTATAAACAAGTAACGCTGATACCACAGTAAGGTCCGGCTTTTTCATGGTTCACAGAAAGGTCAGGTGCCCACTTTCACGCCACACTGACTCTATTCAAACATATATTGAGGCTGTCAAAGCACATTCAACTAGTGGCATGGAAACTCAGTGTGCACCCATCACATGCAAGATTCATTTCAACAGTATGAATAATAATATTGATAAATGTGTGTCACTCAAAGTTCTTGCAATTCTATATTTATATTAAAGCTCACAGCAACATGTTCTAGTGTGGTATTTAATCGCTACAAATGACTCTAGTTCTCTAGAAAAATTAAAACACTGGGACTGTTTGAAGTGGTTTTATTCAATACTTACCACACAAGCACGCACAGAAGAACTAGTTAGACCTTGAATCCAAGTGCCCTCATGCAGTCTTTGTGTGCCTCAATAAGGTCCCTGCAGTTTTCCTCTCCCTTTTCAATGATGCTGGTGGAAACAAACATGATGGATGAATAAACATTCTCACTTAAAACGAGAAGACCATTTCAATTTCTCTGGCCAGCTCCTCACCAAGCATCCCTGACTTTTTTTGTTTCTGGACATGCGCAGCATGGCTTCAGTGGCTTCTTCTGCTCTGTGCTCTCAGTCACAGCTGCAGTCCCGACGCTGGCAGCAGACAGGGCTGACATCTTCTGACTGAAACAAGGAAATGAGCTGATGAGGACTGGCAAACTTTAACCACTGAGTAACATGCATGTATTTTCACTCAGGCTTCATTTAGATTTACACACGTCTTTATCAGCTGACAAACACTTTTCACAGGGATGCTGGAATATGCAACAGGAATTTTTCTTCACGTGTCAAATAAAGAGGTATGAACCGACTGTGATCCCATGAATTGCTTTAGCTTTGTTTTAATATTCAACGATGGACAAATTGATATTTGACGACTAGAACACGGGATGAGGAAAGCAATGCCACTAAAATACTCCAAACACTCACGGTCCAACCAAAAAGCTCATAATGATACAAAATACAGTTAAATAAAAGAAAAGTGTGAGGATTCGCCAAAGTAAGCCACTATTTTATATTTTTTGGTGTCGCTTCATTATGACGTTTCATAAAACTGCTAATCAACTAATGAAACGTCCTACCATTACATTTATGCTGCTGCTGAAGGGCGCTGAACTGATGCAATGACAAGGTAGTTATGTACTTATGATTAGGTCAACCGGCAAAGTCACCACATGCAACACACAACACATGACTCTGAAGCATCCGAGCCTTCAGAGTTGCTCATAATAATTTAAAACAAATAAACAACAACAACAAAAAACAAAACCCCACAAACCCTCTGTTTGCCTCAGTGTTGTGGTTTACTAGCTTTATCTAACCCTTGTTGCGTAATGTTACTGTCAGCTAACAAAGTTAGCTCACGGTGGCTAACAGTGATGACATAACTAATAACATACAAGCGTTTCGCCCAAACCTACTCAAGCCGTAATGTAGCAGTTAAGCCTCCTGCTCGTTATTAACGTAGCTAAGCTATATTGTGTAACGCTCTCTTACTTGTATGGGGAGGCCGACACTGCCGCCAGTACACCGACGATTCACCTTCAATATGGAACTAACATGCGGGAAACACGTGGTCGCCTGTCAAAGTCACGTGACAATGTCATGTGCCGTGTTAGAGACTTTTGGGAAATGTAGTACTGTATTACCACCAGGCAGACAGGTATGTGAATGTATGGTAAACTTGTCAGACGCATGCTGAAATTATTCTCAGTGCTGAATATTCAAGCATTAACTTATGTGTTGCTTATTTATTGATTGGTTTACCTTTATTAGCTAATTAGATTTTTTTTTTACATTAACTTACATTTAAAATTGAAACCCTTAGCTAAAATTGCTTAAGACGATGCTAAGTTTAAGACTTCTTTTTGAGTTAGTTTGTTAGTTAGCTAGCCAGCTAGTTATCTGTCATATTCCCACACTGGGTCAGGCTATTTCAAATATTCTGTTTGAACTGAAAAGAGGGATCACAAATAGTTATGTCCAACTAATGTCCCCTTTTGATTGTTAAAAGTTTTTCATAGTTAAGGTTTAATTTGGCCAAACAACCAAAACAATTGTATTTCTTGTAATAGGTAGGGCATCTATATAGTCCTACACAATGTAGGACAATATATTTGAATAAAAGACCCAAATATCACATTACAGATGTAACACCAAGAGAAATGTTGCTAAATAAATTATGAACTATATAACTATAACTGCCTATATTTCCACTAAAAAAATACACATACACATCAAGTAAAGAAAGCGATAATATGAAAAATACATTATATATTTACATTTACTTAGACAGTATAAAGAAAACCTGCTTGGTATAGAGTACAGAATACATCTGAAAATGTTTCAAACTGTACCTAATCATTTCTTATTATTTTTATTAATCCTTTATTTATCCAGGTAAAAAAATCTCATTGAGATTAAAAATCTCATTTCCAAGAGAGACCTGGCATCATGGCAACAAAAGTCACATACCACATAGGTATATAACATTTAATTTCTACAGGTGCTAATGCTAAAATGTTCTCAAATTCCCATTATATTATGTTCTTCTGTTTTCTGTTTTGTAGACAGACAGAATTAGTACATTAGAAAAAATGTACAAAGGGCAGCTGACATTTATGATTCAGGATATCAGGTTCATCCACATGGTCGACATCACCAAGCATGAAGTTCTATTGCACCGTGCTATTAATGATATGTCAGTGCTGGATGATTGCAGATTATTGAGTCCAACCTCAAACATTTAACTTTCAAATGTTCACATTTGAGTAGCTGCAACCAGATTTTTTAAAAATATTTTTATCGTAAAAGTTAGAAATAATTTGTTGCAGCATCACGCTTCCTATAAAACCTGCGCTTTAGTAATGATCAAGAATGTGTACACTCAGAAAATTAACATCAGCACTGCACAGATTTTATTTTTCTACACAACTCTGTAAGATATTCTGTTCTGTAAGACGCAGTTGCTGCTGGTGGGCGCAATATACACAATGTTGCCTCGGGAGTTTTGGAATATGAAAAATGTTCATTTTCGGACCTGCAGTACCGAAAGGTATGTGTGTGCTTCAACATGTCTACTGGGTCTATTGTGCGTCACCACAACAAAGCAATGCGTAAGCAGCGGCACTGAGTCACTTACTCTAGTTTGAGGGCCAGCTGTGTGCTAGATAAATAAGCAAGTAAGCATATTGTTCTGTGCTGTGATACATGCACTTCCATTTTCTGCAGTCTTTGCTATGCTTTCCACTGTATTACTGTGTATATGACACATATATAAATGCATATGTTGTCTGCAATTTATGCTCAATTTGATCCAAATACTGTTTTGGTGTTCACAAATGGAAGACAGGTGGAGAGCCACAGTTTGAGTCCTGATCGCCCGATGCCTTGTTGTCCAGTTGGCAGAAAACTTTCAGCAGCTTCTGACAAATGTAGGCCTCCTATTTTACTATTGTTTGATTAGTATTTGAAACAGAGAACTTGTGACATACACTGAAAACAAAGAAGGGCAGTTGCAACTAAACTGCAGGTTGGGTTACTCACTGAGCTGCTTTTGTCATGGCTTTCTAACAACCATGCAGTCATCCAAAGCATGCATCGGGGACAATCTGAGGTTCAGTATCTTGAAAAAGAATGAACTGAGTTTGAGTTTCTGATTAGCAAACAACCAAAAGTACCTCCTGAACTACAGATGTCCTGAATGTGTTGTGTATGTTTTACTGCCAGAACTGGAAGTTGAGGTAAATGGCTTACAGAGTGTGTAATGTGTTAAATCCATTGTTTGTATCCTATATTAATATTGTTTTACTTAACTTTACTAGATTAACCATAGCCAAATACACCAAGAAAAAAATATAATACATTCTTAGTCATAGAAAATCACTGGAAAAGCAATTTATGTTGTTTTTGGAATGTCGTAAAAACTAAATTCCTTCCTCGCCTTTATTAATTTATTCGTTTTTGGTTTCAGTAATCATTTCCTCTGAAGCAAACCTACACATCACCGTCACTCAACCAGATCTCTGCCAGACATTGCATTATTATTTGAAGACATGTAGCCTGAATTCAGCGCTTAACACTTACATGTCAGTGAAAGTGAAAACTACATCAGTATGACATCCAGTAATCTCGTAAAAGTCTTTTTTTACATTCGAGGTCACAAAGGACTGAAGCCTATTTTAGGACACACACTGAGGGAAAGAGACTGTGCACCTGGACAGGTTGGCACAGGTCTAACACACACACACACACACACACACACACACACACACACACACACACACACACACACACACACACACATCAATCACGTCAACATCATTTCCCTTGCAAATCTGCAAAGTCTGGACTCTAACAGAGAGAATTTTCTTATACACGACCATTTTTATTGTTTCCTGTACCCTTCTCCACAGGGACAGTTGTACAAAGTTATTAAAAAAGATTTCATCTCATAAAATGTAGCTCACATTATTAGACACATCCCATGGCCTAAGCTGCCAGTAATTCACCTTACCCACTGACACGGTCTCTAAGTTAATCCCACTGTGCTGGCACAACCTCTAATATCAGTTTTATTTTTCGTTTGCTAAACTAACAAGTTTGCAATGAATCCCACCCACCCAACAGAGTTCAAAAAAGATCCAGGTAAATCATCTCCAAATTTTCCATTTTGTCATCCAGGGAAATAAATATTTCAGCCTTTGTTTTGTTTACTGTTACTGATGTGATATGTGCAAACAAACAACATGGGAGCTGGCTCAAAGCTGCATGCATATGTACAGTATCAGGTAACACAGTACAGGGTTTAATTACATCCCCAGTTAGAGGTGGCCCAGGTTGAACTTGTCCCTGTACATGCTGCCAGATGTATATTTCACATGACAATAATTGCGATCCCTTCCCATCCCCTGTACAGGCACACACCCATCATTGTCTTTGGTATTAATGTGAGCTGGACCTTGCCCTCTTGACACGGCTTGATTTATGTGGGGATGAGACACAGATACTGAATAGTTGATGAGCTGGGTGAAAAAGAAAAGAAGTGTAGGGGGGGAGTGGGGCAGAAATAGAGAGAGGCAGACGAAGAGGGTGCGGAGGGAGGGAGGGATCGAGCAGAAAGGCGGGTATCCACTCGCCTCGCTCCGCGCAGCTTCAATAAGCCCTGAGGTTGGGAGGCTTGTTAGAATATTACCTTGTGACCAATAGGAGAGGTCAGAGCTGGTAGAGTCAGGCTCTACTCATCCTCAGAAGAGGCAGAAGCAGCAGTAGCAGAGGGGAGGATGGCATTCGGCTGATCACAGGGAACTAAAGTTGGCCATGGAGAAATTGAAAGGTCCCAACGTAGCATGCACCAAAGCCAACTGTGGATGGAGAGCCCTGCTTCTCCCGCAACTGAACAGACAGTCTCTGTACGTGTACGGCAGCGAGGTGGCCGTGGAGAAGGAGTGTATCCGACAGCTGGAGAGTGGAGTCTTTGTCATTCACCCTTTCAGCCTCATGAGGTATTTAATATATCTGATAGATTGAGGTCAGTCATGCATATCACTTCCACTGTTTCTTTGGTCTGTCTCTGCAAGTTTTTATAGTTAACCGATTACTTAATTTCTCCCTTACATTTAATGAATAATTATACATGTTATAGTTCAGTTTTTGGAGTATTTACCGGAAATACAAAGGTGCAATGCATTAACTTGTTCCTTTGAATATCATTAGAATAAGTGCATTAATGAAAACAAATATAGATACTGCGTACAGATTTACTGAGTACCATAAGTTTACCATATTACATAAATCACACCGTTGTTGGATGAGACAGAAGAGGAATTCCTCTTGAGTCCTCTAGGTTAAACTTTTAAAGTGTTAAATGCTAAACAGTATTTATTCATCCAGTCATTAATTGGCAATGAGAATGATTTTCTTCTGATATGACAATAGAGAAAGCCTTAGAAATAAAGCCGACAATAAGACGCATTATTTTTAGGATAAAAGGAAACAAGTAAATTTTAAAGTGACACAAGAAACCTAAAAGAACGATCCAAGGTTTATAAGAAATAACCGAGTTAGAAGAAAAATACGGACCTATCAAATGACTTCTTTAAGGAACGCGTTTTCACAGAGAGCTGGTTTTGTATTATATATGCAGGATTGCTAATATTAGTCTGTAAGATGATCAGATGGAGGGAAATTAGAGAGGGAATGAAACAATTGAGATCAGAGAGCAGAGTTATTTGAGCCTGGCAATCGTACCCTGGCTGAGGAGATGTACACTTACATTATCAGAGTATTTAGTGTGCATGAATCGGCTTGCCTTACCGGCTGTCTAATGAGTTCTTTTAGCAAATGATGTGAGACTTTCCACTACACTGTGACATGGAAAATAAGAGTTACTGGAAAGTCACACATATGTTTTTGTGGTCATTCCTCCCCTAGGAGTTACTACATCTTGATCATGATGGTCATCACATTTCTGAACCTGATTGGGATTCCCATGGAGATAGCCTTTCTGGACGGAAACAGCGGGCTGGCATGGGAAGGCTTTAACGTGTTTTCAGACACTTTGTTCCTAATAGATGTGGCACTGAATTTCCGGACAGGGATCATAACCGAGGACGCAGAGGTGAGAGTGGCTATATTCTATTTTCAGACACATTCTGGAAGTCTATAATCCGGGTGCAGACGAGCACATACATTCCATCTCTGCACCATCTGTAATCTACTCGATACACGAAAGGCTAGATTAACGGCATCCCCCTTAGCTCCTGGACACGGGCGAAAACGGCTACTGCTGTTTGATTTTGTAACGGGGATTATGATGTTGTGGATGAATGAGAAGTATAACATTTCAAATTAAGTATTATGCGCAATATGTCCTGTTTGTTTTCGCTGGCTCGTGTTTCGTGACTTCTGTCTTCCTAATGGCCCATCTGTGATGTTTTTCCTGTGTTTATTCTCGACCGCACATCTGGTTTTGCCAGATTTACTCTTGGTCTGCTTGAAATATTGATGCATGTGCCTCTGTAACATTTTCAGAACCCTGCCAAGCTCGTCTGACATCACACTCACTTACTTTTGGATGAACTCGCCAAATATTGTTTTAGTTCGAGTGTTAAATTATACATGCGATTGTAGCACATGGTGAACGGCGTCTTCATCTATCTGCTCACTCTGCTGCTCTGTTCTGTTTTACAGGAAGCAATTCTGGATATCAAGCGGATCCGAGTCAGCTACCTGAGGACATGGTTCATTCCAGACGTTATAGCAGCTTTCCCAATTGGCTACATACTGCTGTTTGCGGTAATAATAAAGAGGAAGAGGCAGGAAAAGCCAACACTGTACTTCTTCTGTACTGTATATGTTAGCACTTAGAAAAGCAAGAAAGCGTTGCTGACACTTAAGCAAAGTTATAAATGAGCAAATGAGGTGGATTAAGATTCTAATTGCAGCATTTTTAATGTACAATGTCAGGGACTACATTACCACAACGATGACAACCCCTCCAAGACCAACAAGATGATGAGGATACTGATGTTTGTGCGGATCCTCAGTTTAATCAGGCTGGCTCGAGTCTCCAGGCTGGTCCGGTTCTTCAACGAAGTGGAGAAAGTAAGTTTAAATGCCAGAGAGTCGTCAAAGCTCACCTCTGAAATTCAATCAGCCTTTCTCCTCCCTGCTGCCGATACTTTACGACACCGGGCTCTAGTGACAAATCTGACACTTAGCAATGTCATGCTCGTGCACTGATGGGCAATATGCTTATTTTCTAAGTGAATTTGCCTGCCGGTGTTTAGTAAACAGTAAATACAGAAACACTGGGCTCAATCAACGTGGGTTTATGTAACAAATGGTCAATATAATGACAGTTTCATATAGAACAACACTGTTATCTCTCTGGCAAGGTGTTTTTATTGCATTATCTATCTAGTTGCAATAATAAATGGTTTGTAGTGTGTGCTTTGTTGGGGGTTCCCATAAATCCTGGAAACTTTATGCTGTGCTTTAACTGTCCTTCTCTTTTGATGAAAGCTGCCTGTCTCATCTCTAACAGATCGTGCAGCCAAAAGTCTGGGCTCTGATCAGGAATCAGATCATGTTAGAGTGGCAGGCTGAGGGTTAATGTAGTGTTTTATCAACACGTCGCTCGCGTTTTGGAGGTGTTCTTGTTGCACTAAGCTTCTTGTCCGTTGTGGCAGTTTGTGGCATCTGTGGGTAGTGTGCTTTTAACTGACTGGTAAATTAGGTTTGGATCAAGAAATCTGTCCTTAGAGCATATTTTGATTAAAAAACATTATCTTTTTTTCTGAAGTCACATTAAGCTAGAAATACAAGCAGCTGAATGATCAAACATGTACATTTTCACAAGAAAATGATTAAACCATTAGCCCACGTGTTCCTCATAGTTCACACATCAACGTCCCACTCCAACTTTGAGCTTGTCTTCTTACAGCAGTCGTGTTCTCTCAGCCTTCCTTTGCAATTACCATTATTTTACTTGCAAATAAAAGTCCATTACATATATTTTACTCTCCACTTGTGTAGGGTTGGGGCCAGCTGTGATAGGGTGAGAGGCAAGGCACACCTTAGTTAGGTCATCAGACCCATCACAGGGCTAACAAATGAGGTGGTTAAGATAATCTGACTAAACTGCCGGCTCACTTACAGCCTAGCTCCTCATGTTTCTCGTACCATCTGACCTCGCTGTATTGAAGTGATCATGCAATGTTGTATATTTCAACAATGAACAAAACTATTAAAATAAGACCTGGGTTCTAATAAACCAGAACGATAAAAAGGTCGAATTGATCCTTCAAGCTTGCCCAATAAATAACTAAATCATGGCTGTTCCACACTCCAAAACAACAACATTCATATTCACTCACTGTAACAGTGAGTGAATATGAATCCTTAATACAGTAGAAAGAGCTGGCTGACCCTAAAACAAGTGTGCACCCTGTTTGCTGCTGCAAAGATGTCCACTCGGTCAAACACTCTATCAGTACAGTGTAATGCTGTGTATTACTCACTGACCAGGTGTCGTGTACCCTTTTCCTGACAGGTGTCAAATGCAAACCTGGAGGTGGTTCGCCTGTTCATCCGCATCATGTCTCTCTTCACAATGATTTTCCTGCTGTGCCACTGGAACGGATGCATCCAGTATTTTGTGCCTATGCTGGAGGAGTTTCCCAACGACTGCTGGGTCCGCAAAGAAAACCTGATGGTGAAGCTCATTTTACACATCAGTGCTTACTGAGATGTTTTGTAGCTCTCGCTTTGTCTTCAATGTAGACAATTAAGGACTGTAAAAATGCAATAATGAGAAAAAGAGAAAAAAAAATTAACAATGTTAACCTAGAAGCCTGTCTTACGATGAGAAATAATAGACAATAATGATTGAACCTTTCCTTTCAGAATGCCACGGTCATCGTTAAGTACTCATGGGGTGTTTTCCGAGCTCTCTCCCAGATGATTGCTCTCTCTTACGGCTCTATGGACGCTCCAACAAGTTAGGAGTTTAAGTTTTCTTTCTCTGCCACTTTAAAAAGCAAATATGATCTATATTCTCCCTCAGATGTGAACACTCAACTGCACTGGCATGTCTTTGTTTTGTTCTCTAGATTATGTTGAAATGTGGATCGTCATGGTCAGCATGGTGTCCGGATGTCTGATGTACACCGTCCTCGTGGCCAATGCGACAGCCATGATCGCCAACCTTGACCCAGCGGCCAAGGAGTACAAGAGCAAGGTCTTCATGGGTGACACTTATACTCCTTAAACAGCAAGTACAGTGTAGAAATAAACAGGTTAAACCGACTAAAAACGGGGGGGAAGCACTGCACAGTATATACGTTCTGCTTGGCTAAGATGCCCTAAGCAACTAAAGCCATGATTTAGTTCCTGGCTCACCAAACCTTTGTCATTCCTCTACTTTCTGTCAATTCTACCTGAATTCTATCGGAAATAACAGAAATTAGCAGTAGTGAAAATATATTGAGTTCCTTTCAACATATGTAATTTCTAAATGAATTTTTTCCTGATTAATTTAGACTTTTTGTAGTTAGATTGAACTTTTATTGACCAGTAATCACTTATCGTTATTCTGAATTCAATTGTTCAAGTAATATATTTAAAACGTATGATATAATCTATACATGGTAATCTAATGTAATATATTCTATCCATCTTCAACAGATGAGCCGTTTGGAGCACTACATGGCCTTCATGAAGCTCCCTCCAGAGTTGCAGCTTCGCATCAACAACTACTACCAGGCTCGCTATGGAGGGAAGTGGTTTGATGAGAAGGACGTCATGGACACCGTGTCCTCAGCACTCAAAGAGGTATAGATGGGGTTATTGCTAATCTCCAAACTGGCTGAGATTGATTTGATTTGGTTGATCTCATACTGATATCTATATGAGATGTCATCCTCATACATACAGATTCACAGCTGTGCTTTTGTGTATCTTGGTCACATTCACTCAGTGTACATAAATATCTGTTTTTCATTCATTCTTTAATCTTGCCTGAACTGAGTGTGATTTGTTGTTTCTTAGCTCACGTCTATCTTCATTTGTCATACCAAGCTTTGTGTTTGTTCATTTGTGTGTATTTTTCAGCAAATTGTGACAGTGATGTGCAGCCGGCTGCTGAGAAACGTGCCGATGTTTCAGAACAGAGATCAAAGCTTTATCAACACCGTCCTCCTCAAACTGCAGTACGAGGTTTTCCAGGAAGGAGACATCATCGTCCGACAGAATGTCCCGGGCGACCGCATGTTCTTCATCGATCACGGCCAGGCCCTTGTGGAGACCGATTCCTATGAAAGGGAACTGTGTGATGGAGACTTCTTTGGAGGTGAGTTGGATTTACTCAAATATAGTTGTTGCTGGTGTCTAATAATAATTCATGAGCTCTAAGACAGGCCTTGCAAAACAATAAAAAAATAACTGGTGATGGTTAGGGGTTCAATTTTAGGCATGTGTCATGTGTTTAATTTGAAAAGTTTCCAAATTATTTCCTCTGCAGAATATTTATTATTTGTTTTTTTTTTGTTGCCATTTGTGTTTTAGAAGAACAGTGTTGAACCAAAGTGATTAAATCTTCTCCTTTTTTGCCAATTTGGCTGACTTCTTTAATTCTCCATCATTACATGCGCACACTTCCAAATCTTTTTGGCAGCAGATCTCTGCGACGTTTAAAGCTTAGCAGGCCTCCCTCAGACAACTCAGCTTTAATTTAGGATTAATTGTCAGATCTCATCCCCGTCATGAGATTTTATTTGCTCATTAACCACAGTCTTACGGACCCTTCTGTGTGTACAGAGACATGTGTGCTGAACAAGGGCAAACATCTGGCCACAGTGAAAGCACTGACCGACTGCCAGTGTTTCTCTCTGTCCTGGGACGACTTTCAGGATGCGCTGGAGGGCTTCCCAGATGTCAGGAAGGACTTGGAAAAAATGGCTCTGCTCAACTCTGATGGTGGACTCGTGTAAGAACAAAAACAGCACTTGGAATTACAGTATTACCTAAAAGGACGACGTGTTTCTTGGGCATTTTAGGTAGTTGCGTCATGGACCATGAGACTCACCCACATGGACGCCAGTTGGACTCTTATTCAAGGACATTATGGAAAGTTTTAAAGTCTTTCAATCTAGGAATTATTATGTCTGCTGATCCAACAGTTATCAGTAATAAACAACAGTAAACATGGTGAAGGATTTGATCTCAGCCACCTTCTTCTCCGTATCCCAGTAATGAAGCTTATCCTGGTTTAGTGTTTACATGGAACACAGAGAAATCTGGTCATTCACATCCTTATGGTCATAGGAAATACTTATCATTAATTCATCTTTGCTGTAGGCTGTATGCACATGTGCCTGCTAGCCTTTCACCCTTCCACTATCTTTTTCATTTTGAAAGACAACACTTACGCTATATAAACTAGCCATTTTTGTTGCTAGGCAAATCGTTTCTGTTACGTCAGCTGTATAGGTAAGCAGCAACAAGAAACTGGGCACTCCGGCTATTCTAGGATTTCTCTAGACTGGGGTAAGTTCTTAGACAGGTTATGGAAATAAACAGGATTTTACATTCATACTAAAATACTCAGTCAGTGCATAATATTTGTGGCAAAAAATAAAAATTTGGTCAAATGTAAGCAATAAGGAGAGCAGTAGTTTTACAATAATTTGGCTGTTGGAGGAACTTATTAATGCAAAAGGCATACAGTAAAATTATTGCCAATTTTTTCAAATAGTTATCACAGTTAGGGACTGTTGTGGAGGGCTACACCAATAATAACAAATAATTAGTGCGGCCATCTGGAACAGTCCGTATCTCATGTGGTCCCTTGGAAAAATGAAATGCCCACCACTGCTTTAGACCAGCTGTTTTATCTTTGATCTACCTGTGAGTGCTCCTGTTCATGATGGATGTTTTGCCTCAAAACAGTCGTAGTGTGGCTAATCGTGAATATGCACTTTTGACTGTCTGATTTCTTGGGTTCTTAACCTCTTTGAACTTTTTATTCCCAGATCTCAGCAATTACATTTACTGCCATGTTAACAGCTCTGCACTGTGCACAGTAAAGACACTAACTTTTGGTTGTTGAAATGTTGAGTTTCTCAGGTATTTGGCTTTAAACTATTAGACAAAGAGAAATTTTGGTCTTGTGCTCCTCAGGTGACCATATTAATAAAAATCTTCATGCAGTCCAGCTCAGATTTTCTTTAAATATTTTAAAATGATGAGCTAAAAAATTATGATCACCTCTCTAATATGCTCCGCCCTGTGGTTATCTGGCACTTTGTGGCAGGTCCTCAAAGTCCTGTGAGTTGCAAGGCGGCGCCAACGTGAATCCAAAAACGTTCCCTCAAACCTACTGTCACCAGGTAACAATAGGTTTGAGGGAAGTTGTTACTAAAGTGTTCCGACCCAGTTGTCTGGCCATCGTGATAAAAATCTGGTCCTAGTCACAGACTCTCAGGTCTACACATGCAACTTTTCTCCCACATTCAACAAAATGACTGTGAGATCACTTATTGTCTAATATAGCTCAGAGAATCATTTCATCTGTGATTGGTTGTAATGTTTTAGCTCATCTGTGTAGATAAGACCCAAGTTTTAATAAACTGGACTTTAGCCATAAAGCAAGGCAAATACTCGTGCATGTTGTTTTTCTCTAAAATAATATTTATTTAGAGGCAATAGTACACAAGATATCCACCAACAAATCTAAAGCTGATAGTGTAGCAGAATTATGAAACATGTGCATGAGACCAGCAGACGATCTCTCTTTCATCCAAACACACACACGGTGCCTGAGGCCAGCCGGTGTTTGTACTCATAGAGGTAGTAGGAGGCTTGAGGGAAGTTGCATTTCATCTCCATCCTGCCCGGAACAACATGGACGGCCACACCAGATCCCAACCCCTCCTGCAGCTTCTTCAGCATGCGGGAAGCCAGGTAGCGCCTAGCCCTGCCTGGGTCTTCTTCTATGGAAGCGTACACTTCAGGTGGTGGGTTGGGGATCTTCCATTCCAAATCCACGATGAGCTGGTGGATGCGGCTTTTATCCAGTGTAGTGGGTGTGTCCCGGTAGCACGCCACCACATGGGGGATAGGAGCTTCAGATGCCACGGAAAGCAAATTGCCAGGCTGTCGTTCTGTCGCTTCACCTTCATTTTCTCCTCCTTCCTCCTCCTCCTCGTCCATGGGCCCCACAGCAGGGTGGAGCATCACCGCCCAGCGCAGCCAATCGTAATTCTTCTCCAGGGTTTTCAGGATGCTCCCTGCCGCCTCGTCTGGGGGCAATCGGTTGTGGACGGCCTCCTGCAGCTGCTGCCGTATATCCTCTTCCGCCTGCTCCAGGAAGTAGCCTAAGCAGCGACCTCCCGTGTTCTTCATTTTCCTGTACAGGGCGCCCATACGGTCAGACCAGCTCTTGATAAGGAGAGCCTGGTCTCTTCCTGTTAGGGAAGCTTGAGTGAAGAGGCAGAGCAGACCAGTGCCCAGGACAAAATTTATCTGTCAGAAAAAAGAGGAGACAAAGAACGTGAACATGTGAAAGTGTCCATGACCCATAAATCCTTTAGCCAGCATTTTAGTCTGAGCAAGTGGAACCACAGGAACAAAACAGCTCTTTAAGAAACATGCTTTTTGCCTTTAAATGGTGTAAATACACCTCACCCTAACCCTGTATGTTGAAAAAAATGACAATGCACATGACAAACTGACTGTTCTCCTGTGACCCAGTCGCCTTTCTGAGTAACAGCTGTAATTCATAATAAAATCACTGCTCGCAAGGCTTTAACAAACCTGACCTTTATGAGTAAGGCCTACACCAAAAAAGCACTATGTGGATATCCAGTGTTAGTCAGGCTCCTTTAGTGACAACACAGAGGGTTCTTATAATGATAATATTAATAATAATCAAAGCATTATTATTTCAGGTTTGGGTAATTATCTTATGTAGATGTAAGATTGTCTGGTTTAAGACAAAATGACATCGCTTTGGTTCTTGTTTCAGCACCAGAAGCATAATCACAGCAGATTACGTTATCACCTAAAATATGTTTATCTATGATAAGTTCTTCAAGGTTAAAGAAACTTGGCTGTAGTTTCTTTGATTAGCAAGGTCGGGCTCTTCAGGCTTGACCACATGATTTGCAGCCATGACTTTGATTACTATAGTTGGTTCAAAATGTCCTTCTCTCAAAGTAAACCCTGCAGCTATATACACTGTGTGCAAAATAAGCTCCGTTTTCTCATTTTTATTTAAACCACACCATGAGGGCACATTTTGCAACTATCATTTCACATCAGTTAGCTCGACGTGCTTTTATATAAGTGCACTTGTGCAAATCAGTCCTTGAAAAGAGAAACGTGCAAACAAATTTACTCATTCGGCACCGTTTACAAGCAGAAGCTGCTTCAGCATTAAGGCTAATCCACATTTAAGCCCTTTAATAAGTGGACTCTGGACTGATTTGACTTTCTTGGATGGAAACTCTTCTCTTTACTGCGGTGATGACTGAAGAAAACAACTGTTCTAAACGGACAAGCAGCGTAAAGTGTGCACGCTTCCTTTAACACCGTCTTACATTTTGTTCATAACAAGGAGGTCAGTGCTGACCCCACACAGCCAATTATGGTTTAAAGATAATCATCTAACTGCTTTTATATAACAAACAAGCCTGTGACTTCTGGGAGATTCATTTCCTGTAAAATTGGACAGTCGTTATGTAGCAGACTGGCTCTGTGTGTCTTGCCAAGGGGAATGACAGATGGACTAAAGGACCCACAGTGACCATCAGGTCACTTTTAAATGTAAGAAATAGAAAAAAAGAAGTCTGTTTGATTCTGTGCATAATGGAGGAAAATGCTTTTATGGTAATAAAACCAGTAACCTTTCAGTTTCTTTACAAGAAACTAATGATTTTTTAATTTTAGCTTTAAAGCCTGAGCTCTTCATCTATCGAAGCAAGCGACAGAACACATTTGTTCCCAGCACAGGCAAAGGTGGAATTTGCCGACTCAGCTCACGAGAAAGACAAGAGAAGGTCACAGCGCCGCAGATTAAATATTCAGTTTATTTTCATAGCAAGAAGACAGATGCAGCATGCTTCATTCCCCACGGGACCTCAGTGCCTTTCTGTCACATTTATCTTTTTTGCTATGAAAACTAATAGTTAATCTGGTACAGCTGTGCTTCTCACTGCATTTTCCTCTCCTGCATTTTTTCCATAACTTGTTCTCAGTGGGATTGGATATATTTGTGCTGTTATATATGTGACTGCATCTAACATAGAGTCTTCATTTTTGGATCTTATATAATGAAGTTCCAGGATTGTTTTTTAATTATATATATTTTTCCTTTCTCTTGGTTTGTACTTGATTGGAGATTTGTATTTACGGGATACCAAACTGCTTTAGACCTTGAAACTGAGGGCGTGTTGAAAAAGTGAACAGTTCTTTTTTTTTTTCCAGACTGTCCTTCAATGGGCTGTTTGAAGTATTTTGGGGTTGAGGTTCGAAGCAAATTTATGTTTGATCGGGGGACCAAATAATGCATTTTGCCAGTGAAGGTTCTCACAAAGATAAATGTGCCAAAAAAAAAGTGTGTGTGCATTTGTGCATAAGATTGCACAAACCTCACCTCAGGCTTGCGTGCCTGTGCATAATGAAAGTCAAATAAGAAAAAAATGAAACTTTAATGACCCCGACTCCCTGCAGCCAAATGAGTTAATCACAAATACCCCTCCACACCAAGCACCACCCTTCCACAATCAGCATTGCACATCCACTAACCTTGACGCAGAACTCGCTCAGCTCCCAGCGTTTGGGCTTGCGGCTCAGTATGACCTCCTCCAGCAGTGGGGGCTGGTCTGTCAGCGCCGACACTCCCATTAGACGATTGTAGAGTGCTGTTAGCTGCCTCTCCAGCCGGTAATCCTGCACGTACTGCAGGAACACCTCAGTCTCCTTCTTGGTGAAGTCTGACTGGGCCCTCACCTAAAACAAGAGCAGATGGAGTGCATCTAAAACCCAGTGGTTCGGGGCAATAATAAACTCTATACTTCAGTTTACTACAGGTCAAATTAAAAACATGGCATTTTCCTTTAATATGAAGGAATGTTAGTAAATAATCTGGACAAGGACACATAAAGCTTTTCCGGTTCTCACACTCAACACCTTTTCTATCAATTTAGGTGTTTGCACTCACATTTGGCAGCTTTTAGCTGATGAAGAGTCTCATTATCTCTCATCCGTTCACTCCAAAAATAACCAGCCACCCAGAAAATGACAGTGGGTAAACGTTTCCATGAATTCATTTGCTGCCTGTGTTTTTGTTACCACCCCACCTTGCCACCCTATCCACCACCAGCACCAAATTCAAATACCTGTAAACTTATGACATAACCAAATGCCACACTTAGCCGCGGAAATAATTAAAGAGAAAAATAGAAGGCGTAAGCCTGTTAATACGAGTCAGTAGAAATGAGCAGATGCTTTAATCATACATCTGGTCCCATATTTTTACATAATACACTCACAGTGATGAATTCAAATGCAGTCCCAGTGTAAGCTTAGGGGTCTTTGTGCTTTACTTTTAAATATTTGTACTCTTCAGGCTTTATATATGCCAATTTATTGCCATAATACTGTTTTACATCCACCAGTGCTTCCAAGTCCTTCACCCTGTTTTCAGACAATTTGATAAAAAAGACACTTCCCAGGATTAATTTCACCTTAGAGAACTGACGGTGAAGCTAGCAATTGAAAATTTGGCCCAGGTTTTGATAAATAAACCTGCTTCCAGTCAGAACAGGGTCCACAGGTTGGAAACTTCACATATATTAGACTATAGGCGTATGTAAGAAGTGTTTTGAGTAGAAAAGGAGAGCACAGGCAGGATTTCTTTTTAGCATTTTTTTTTTATTTTCTTTGATTTTAATTGTGGATTATTCAGTCTGTGTTTGGTTTTATGTTAATGTATTTATTTATTTGTCTGTCATGGGATCAGTGAATAAAGATAAAATGTTCACGTCCCAGAACTTGAGGCATGATGTTCCAGTTGCTCATTTTATCTGCATACCCATTAAATAATTATATAATAAAATTATCACCATTGCTAATGAAATACTTGCTTTTATAGTCTCTTTTCTAGACTTTGCATCATTTATTCAGCTATATTACACAACCTTGCACATAAAATTGTGTTTATGAGGTCGTAGAGTTTTCTCACCGCAGTGCCCAGCTGGTAGTACACCACAGCCAGGTCGTTCTCCAGCTGATGGACCTCCTGGTCCTTCAGCAGGCCGTAGCTCGTTGCTCCCAGCTCCTGGTCGATGTGGTCCAAGTTCTTCTTGGCCAGCTCAGTCTCCTCTTGTGTAGCACTGCCACCAAGATAGGAACAGATGCCCTGGACCAAGACCCTGTGCACAGCAAGTAAGTAAAGACACTCCTGGTTTAGCCCCCCCAAAAAAAGACAAAAAAAACCGCTTGTATATAACAATAAGTTTGCATAGCTACAATGTGAATTATCATGTCAAAGAGGAAAACCCACCTCACAGTCTGCATGTAGCCCACTGGCTCCAAAACCTTTCCAAACATCGCCATGGCTCCTGAGCTGTCCTCTGGAAGGTTATCTAAGGAGAAAATGAACAGTTGAGATTTAGAAATGATGGAAGTTGGTGTAAATCACTGTGACATTTACCAGATCAAAAATCCTCTGGTTCTTTTTACACCTCACCTCGCTTGTTCGGTGTGCAGGTTTGTGCTGACCTTCACAGTGCGCTATTTATATACAATCAGTGTATCTGATAAGCGCCTTCCACCTACAATACCTTTTTGAACTTGAGAGGAAGAAAAAAGTGATGCGTACAGATTAATGTAAAGCTAGATTAACATTTGTGAAATGCTGAGAGGTGCATGTTCACCTGTGCACATGTATTGCAGGTGTTATATTTTCACATAATACCTGTATAAATAGTACATGTCATTTTCCAATCGTTTAGTCCAGTGCAGATCCAGGCTGTGGAGACAAACACAAGATCCTCTATTCATCAGAGGTTTCCTGGGTTCAGTTTCTCTGGGTCTATACAGCTCCATCTCCTGGCTGCATGGTCTCAGTATTTAGCCTTTTATCCGGGTTATTTCTGGGGCATGTGGAGCCTAACAATATTGACATCTCTTTAAAATGGAGGCAACTGAATGTGTTAATATAGACCTGGAGCATTATCTCACATAAAAGGAGGGGTCATCTTCTATTTGTCCTGAAATATAGCATTGCAGACTATTCAAAATAACATATACTGTACAAAAAAGCGCATCTAATCTTTATACTTGCTACACATGATATCCTTCTCTGTTCCATTCTGTTTATTTGCACAGCATTTTGAATTGAATTCTCCAGAAACATCTTCTGATGTAGGTTGCATAAAAGGTCAGGGAGTATTAAGACAAAAGCAACGTTGAAATGGAGTCAAGTCGATTGAAAAATATAATAAATATTTCAGTGTCACAATGCCGAGCACGATATGAAGACGTAACCATATACTCATGCCACTAAAATGCGCTGTCAAATAGAAAAATATCAAACGTTCGTCAGTTTTACCTTGTCTGTTAACACAGGGGGCGCGAATAAAACCCTTTGCACGTTAAACACTAAAACCCAAGAAGAAGAAGAAGAAGAAGAAGTGTCTTCCGCTTAATACCGGAAGAGGCGCCAAAATTGAAATTTATTTCTTTCTGCCGACGTAGAAACAATAAACAAACGGCCTTTGAAGGTCTGACGTCGGTTTCAGAGTAACTGAGTGCGCTTTTGCTCGTGTCGGACTTTTACCTGAAAATGGACTCGACTACACAATTCTTCAGCAAGCTGAAAAAGCTGGCAGTGACTCTGGAATCTGAGACAGCCAAGCTCCAGCTCGCATTTGAAAACCGCAACTGCGACGACGACGAGAGCGGTGAGAAACACCCTGACACACAGGCTGCTTAAATCGCTTACAGTGAAGTCATCGCACATATCTCAATATGAATTCTTTTCTATTTCAGAAAAGACAGCCAGAGCGATGCGAGCCTATCATGAACTGAACTGTGACGTGGGGAACCTGAAGGTAAAAGTTAGCACGTCTTTTTTTTTTTAAAATTGCATCTAAAGGTGGCGACATATACACACGTTAGCGCGACAATGCAATATTTTATCAGCAGCTGCAACAAAGATCGTTAAATGCGTTATGTAAAATTAACCAAATGCATTCAAAAGTCCTGCACTCAAAATCTTACTTTAGGCAAACTTTGTATTTAACATATTAAAGGTAGAACTGTGGCTGATACACGATTGTCTATTATACCTTTACATCCTTTACAGTGGCTCCCAACTCAGAGACAGACCCTTTCAAAAGGCCAAGATAAATGTGGTTATTCTCTAATTATTGCCTGTCTTTTAAATATAGTTTGGCCTGCATCGTTATAAAAGCAAGTCTTGTCATTTGAAATGCCTGAGTGCACTTGTTCAGACAGTTATTCAGAAGGCATAAAAATTAAATTGCATTTCTGTGCTGTGTAACTGCGTACAAAACGTTATTGATTTTACCTACAAAATTACTACCCGTTATGTATTACTGCAGGTAAAACCATTTTGCTATTGTTGAACTCTCCACTGAAGTGAGAATAATATAAAGTCTTTACCTGCCAAAGGTTTTCCACGTCTTTGACTTCTGTTAACTTGACGCTTATTTCAAGCATCATAAAGAATATCTGTGTGTCATTTATAAACCGATTATTCATAGCAATATCTTTATTGAAGACTAAAATTGTAAATTGGTCGGGCGGTTCATTTTTGAATGGTGAGTGCTCATCACTTCTAGTCTCTTCTCGGGTAGGGACAGATCCAGGATGCCTTGGCTCAGCAGAAAGCAAAGAATAATGAGGCGAGCAGCTTCATTAAGGCGTGTAGAGTAATGGACCAGAAAGTCTTCAAGGACATTGAGAGACTGAAGAGACACTGCGAGAACTATGGTTACCAAGCTCCCTGTGACACCCAGAGATCAACCAGTAAGTATTAACAATGGCAAAACGACTACATAACACTGGTAATCACGTGTAATGATTTCTTTTCACTTAAAAGAAAAGCGACATGCATTTATGGTGTTCTTATTGTCACTTTTTCTTATATAGAGCCTAAAGATCAGGCGGAGGAGGCTAAAGATGAAGAAGCAGATGACGACTCAGTAGAAGAGGAAAATCAGGAGGAGGATGGAGGGAATCCTTCCTCAATGGCTCCAAAACCAGAGCTGCCCAACACTGATGTGCTGCGAACTCCACAGCTCTCTGATTTTGGTTTGTCTAAACTGCACCTAAGGAGAGTTCTGACTGGGACTGAGTGGTGTTCAGAAGTTCCCCAAATGCCTGAGATGAACCTTCCTCAACCCTCACTCAAAGCATCTCTACCATCGCCCATGCCCATTACCCCCAAATGTAACCTCCGAATGGATGACTACGAACTCCAAACACCCCAGATGCATGACTTTGGCATCACAGAGCACACAATGTGTCTGAACAATGACTTCACCATGAATCTGTTCAAGAAGACTGAGAACCAACCAAGGTAGAGTGGTATGAACTATAATGACCCCTGTCGGCCATACTCAGGGTTTGTAGTGTTACTACTGCAGGTCCTTTAAGACTTTACTGTGTAAAACTGCTTTTTCCTGCTTTATGAGTCTCTTCTTGTTCAACAGACCATTACAGGACACAACTGAACCACCAGTGAACGCTTTAATAGACAGTTTGCAGACAAAAGGTATGAAACTGTCAACCTCATAGCTCTTCTTCACCCCACAATAGGTGACTGTCATCTACACTCATGGAAAAGAGAAAGTTTTCACCAAACTCTACGCTGTCCTGTTTAAAAACTAAGTACGGCCAATGATTCAGTACTTTGTAGACACGTCTAGACCCATAACTTGAAGTAATAACTTGAAGTAAATATACAGACAATAACTTGAAGTAATTGTCTGTATAACTTTATCAGTCTGTCAGTTTGTCCTGGAGAAATTTTGGCCCACTCTTCTTTACAACATCAAGTCTGTGGCCGTTTATGCACCGCTCTCTTAAGCTCTGCACTTTGATTGTACCATTGTTACACATTGATTCTTTTCTTTGTCGGCCATTCTGTTGTTGATTTGCTGATATTCTTGGGATCGTTGTCCTCTTGCATGACCCAGTATCAGCCAAGCTTTGTCTGTCGGACAGATGGTCTCACATTTGATTCTAGAATCCTTTGGCATACAGAGAAATTCATGATGAATGACTTCAAGGTGTCCAGGACCTGTGTCTGCAAAACGATCCCAAATAACCACCCTGCCTGAATGCTATTTGATTAGCTGCTATTTAAGATCTTAGTTTCTGTGGAACGGTGTACTCACCTTTTCACAGGACTGAACAGAGTTCAGTGAAAACGTTTTTTTTTTTTCACACAAATGTATAAAGTATACATCTTTAGTAAAGAAATCGGATGTCTTTACTATTCAGGAAACAAGATGTTTCTCTTCTTCAGTTGTCTTTTTCTTGCATGACTTTATCCAGCACTTAGTTTATGATCAGATGTTTCCCTTTGCATTTATTTTCATCTTACATTTTCTAAACAGTGTTTTTTCGAGTGTTATAAACTATTTAAAATATCTTACTATTTATTTATTAGTAAGTTGTAAGTAATCTTATGTCATGACATATTCTGATGCCTGTTAATTAAAAAGTACATGTTTGGATATGGTTATGTTTTCATTGTCTTAAGTTTAATAATGATACAAAATCCCCAGCGTTTAGCCAGTGGAGACTACAAGTTTCCACATCACACTTGTGCAGATTTTTTCACTACTTGGATCTGGAAAAAAAAATGAACTGAACATTTTGTTCAGCGAAATCTGACGTCCAAAAGAGAAATAAAAAAACACTGACCAAAACGAGCTTTTCATAGAAAATGATAGAGCTTTAAGTACTCGAGAACTACATTTGTTTTTATTAAACAGCTCAAGGCTTTGTCAGTGCACCATTTTTCTATCTGAAACGTTGCTTGTTTTTCAAAGATGCCACCTGAAGGTATTAAAAATTCTATACTATGTATTTAAAATACCTATATTTTGAAAAATAAAAGTAGCACATGTAGAGAAACGGCACCAGGCTGTTAAGAGAAAGCACTGCAGTGAAATGGTTCTAAATATCTTCCTGTGACATTGTTTTGATTACCTTCAGCTGAAAAGCTGGAATCACCAGAGCCGCCTGTGTTTTTTACCCCGGGATTCAAGATCAAAAAGACAAACGGTCACTCGTCTCCAACTGCACAAGGCACTGGTGTCCCAGAATTCCCCTGTCACCCTGGCAACCTACCTGCCACACCCGAAGTCCCAGCATTTCAAACGCCGTACGTGAACAGACTAGTCAGTACCAAAAAGGTAAGAAATGAAATGTAACTGTGTGTGTTTTTGTTTCTGACATTTTGATTTCACATCACCTTTTTAATTTTATTTAATTTTTTTAGAGCACACAGCAGCCTGAGCCATCCGTTATGCAAACGGATAATGACACCCAGACCTTGGATCTTCCATCCCCACCTTGTAACAGAGCAGCTGGTTTCAAACGCACCTGGGAATATGATGTGCCCGATATATCCACCACGGGTTTAGAGGACAAGCAGATGCCAGTGATGCCCAACCTAGAGTCTG